CCTGGCCAAAAACCACAAAAAAAAAAAAAAAAAAAAAGCTCAACCTTAAGAATTGGCAATGAATACTATTCATATTCTCTGTACAGTTCCATGGGTGTGACAAATAAATGCTATCATCAGAATAAAACCAGGAAAATATATTTTTATCCCTATTTTCTAAAGTATTTCAACTATTAGGGGAAATAAAGCCAAAGTGGTTATCACCCCAAGGTTCCGAAGTTCAAAAGCCCTCAAATTCTTTATGAGAATTAAGGACCTAGAGCTGTCTTTTATATCAGAAAAACAATGGACTGAAACAAGTGTACCATCCTAACTGCTTTAAAAAGCTTCACACAATAATGTAGTTCTGTGTAGTTATACTACTATCACTTTTGCCCCAATAAGTATTTTATAAGGTAAAACATTCCTATGGCTACATATTGCTCCTCAAGACTTCCTAAAATAGGAACTTCTTTTTGACCAAAATCACAAAACTGATATAATTTTGACTATTTAGTTTTTCAATTTTCACATTTTTCCACTATTAACTCTATGATGTACATCTAAGTAAGACTAGAATCTTTTAGTTGCTTTCTACCTAGGCATAATCATACATTTTCAGTAATAAAGAGTTGTAAAAAAAAAAAAAGTAAAATACATACCAAAGCATTGTCCACCACAACATGCATTTCTAGATAAAGAGGAAATAAATCTGGAACATCTGATTCCAACTAGAAAAACAGAAATAACAGCATATAAACACTAAAATTTTTCATAATTTATTATAATCTCTTTAGTTTCACCACAATACTTAGGATATTCTAAGGTATTTGCGTCATAAAATTGGTTGATGTCAATGTAAAGTACTTTGAGTTTTATGGCATTTGATTCAAGTAATAAGAACACTAGTTATAAAGTTACAACATATACTTCAATAGATCTATAGCTTCCAGTCTGTGAACTAAACAAAACACCCAGCACTTCTAACCACCTATTTCATTTAAATATCAGAAATAAACTTTTGTTTTACAAGTTATACAGTTGTTAAGAATTTTAAGAATGGTTACATTTTTTCACTCCTTTCTGTATCCACATTCTTTGCAACATGACTCTACAGTGCCTCCTATCATGAGATGAGATTATTCTCTCTCTCTCTCTCTCTCTCTCTCTCTCTCTCTCTCTCTCAACCTAGGGTGGGCTTTGAATTGCAGTAAGCCAATAAATGCAGTGGAAGTGCTTTTGTGCCAATCCTAAGTCTAAGTCACCTTTCCTACTGCTCTCCTACTCTTGAAACCCTGCTTGTACACATCTGGCCAATTGGCCAGATTGTAAAAAACAGGTGGCTTCAAAATTTAAAAAATAATAATAATAAATAAAATTTTTAAAAATGAATTAAGTTTAAAAAAAAATCAGGTGGCCTATTCACCCTATTACCCCAGAAAAAATAAAACAGAACAAGACAAACCTTAAAGAAAAAATAATTTCTTTAAGAGGGGAATGTAGTGCTTGACCTTATCCACCTACCATTCCATTTCCTTCCATCTAGCTCAGCAGCATCCACGAGGATAGTAGCCCATATACTGGACATGGCTTGCAGGTACCAGAGGAAGAGATACCACTTGTTCTCAAAGAACTATGGTTGTACCTAATGAATACAGATATTATAACCTAGTTGTTTGTACTCTCACATTAACATGAAATTTTTTTTTAAAGAATATGTGTTTTGAGCTGTCCAGTATCTCCCGAAAGAATTTGCTCAAGGTCTCTCCTTTGCTTCTACTACCTTAAAACATTTGCAGGGTTGGAGTGGACTCCAAGATGCTGTTTATGAAAAGTATTTAAAGGCAAATATACTGCCTGCAGCCACCGATAGCAAGGGAACAAGTAGCAGGCATGCTGAAAAAGCCAGGAAGAAAGAGGCTAGAGAAGGATATGGGTAAGAAAATAAAGGCTTTGAAAATCTCTGGCATATTCTGGAAAATCTAGAAGGCAACTCATATGCCCAGGGTAAACACATGTTCAGAAAATATTTGATAAGATGCTACGTTTTCTCCTCTGGCTAACCTTAAGGCATTTGAAAATGGGAGTAAAAGATGAGGCAGAGTTGTAAACATCTGGAATAAGAGTTGCAGGAGTGCCCAAATACAGAGTCAATCTGTAAAAGCCAAAAAGGGGTTTGGGGGTTTGTTCAATTGTTTTTGGTGGGGGGCACCCATCATTAAAAAAAAAAAATCTCTGCCAGATCACTAGGTGACAACTTAAATAGGAATATTGTTAACAAAACATTACTTTAGAAAAGTCAGTAAATAACCACAACCCACAACAAGCAGCAAAAAACAAACCCTCATGGGAAGCAAGGGAAAATCTGATTTCTAGCATTATCACATCAAAATACTCAAACTGTTCAGTCTTCAGCAACAAAATAAAAAGTATGAGACATAAAAAGAAACAACAATGTATGACTCATTCTCACGCAAAAAAGAAATTGGAATTGTCCCTAAGGCACCCCAGACTTTGTACTTACTAGACAAAACTATTAATTAACCATTTTAAATGTACTCAAAGAGTAAGGAAAACCATGGACAAAGAACTAAAGGAAACCAGAAGAATGATGCCACAACAAATAAAGAATATCAACAAAAATATAGGTGACTACAAAAGGAAACTCTGAACCTGAAAAGTACAAATCCAAATAAAAATTCTCCAAAGGGATTAAACTACAGATTTTAGCAGAGTCAACAAACTTCACAAATCAATCAAGATCATTCACCATGATGAGCACAATTTTTTAAAAGAATAAAAAAAAACAAACAGTCCTGTGGGACACCATTAAGCATAAAAACTTATGCATAATGGGAATCACCAAATAATGAGAAAAAGAAAGAGGCAGAAAGATAATCTGATGCAACAATGGGAAAAAACTTCTCAAATTTGATGAAAGACATGAGTTTACATATCCAAGAAGATCAATGAACTCCAAATAGAATAGACTCAAAGGAATCCACACAAACACACATTATAATTAAACTGTCAATAGCCAATAATCAAGAGAGAACCATAAAAACAGCAAGAGAGAACAGATAATCACAAACAGGGGATCCTCAATAATACTAATGTCTACTTTTTTATTAGAAATCATGGAGGTGAAATATCTAGGAATATACCTTTATAAAGAAAATTATGAAACCTTAAGAAAGGAAATAGCAGCGGATATTAACAAATGGAAGAACATAGCATGCTCATGGTTCAGAAAAATTAACATTGTTAAAATATCTATACTTCTCAAAGCAATCTACGGATTCAATGCCATCCCTATTAAAATACCAACATCATACTTTCAAGACTGGGAAAAAATGATTCTATGTTTTGTATGGACCCAGAAAAAAAATCCATGTAGCTAAAGCAGTTCTTAGTAATAAAAACAAAGCTGGGGACATCAGCATACCAGATTTTAGGCTATACTACAAACCCACAGTGGTCAAGACAACATGGTACTGGCACAAAAATAGAGACATAGACATTTGGAATTGAATAGAAAATGAGGAAATAAAACTAACATCTTATAACTACCTAATCTTCAATAAACCAAATAAGAACATACCTTGGGGGAAAGACTCCCTATTCCATAAATGGTGCTGGGAGAACTGGATATCCACATGTAAAAGACTGAAACTGGACTCACAACTTTCTCCACTCACAAAAATTGATTCAAGATGGATAAAGGACTTAAATTTAAGGCATGAAACAACAAAAATCCTCAAAGAAAGTATAGGAAAAACACTGGAAGATATCAGCCTGGGGAAAGACTTCATGAAGAAGACTGCTATGGCAATTGCAACAACAAAAATAAACAAATGGGATCTAATTAAACTGAAAAGCTTCTGTACAGCTAAGGAAACAACAACCAAAGCAAATAGACAACATACACAATGGGAAAGAATATTTGCATATTTTGAATCAGACAAAACCTTGATAACTAGGATACACAGAGAACTCCAATTAATCCACATGAAAAAAGCCAACAATCCCATATATCAATGGGCAAGAGACCTGAATAGAACCTTCCCTAAAGAAGCCAGAAGAATGGCTAACAAACATATGAACAAATGTTCATCATCCCTAATTATTAGAGAAATGCAAATCAAAACCACCCTGAGATACCATCTAACTCCAGCGAGAATGGCCCACATCACAAAATCTCAAAACTGCAGATGCTGGTGTGGATGTGGAGAGAAGGGAACACTTTTACACTGCTGGTGGAAATGCAAACTAATATGACCTTTTTGGAAGGAAGCATGGAGAACCCTCAAAGAACTCAAGCTAGACCTCCCATTTGATCTCGCAATCCCATTACTGGCATATACCCAGAAGGAAAAAAATCTGTTTATCATAAGGACACTTGAACTAGACTGTTTATCGCAGCTCAATTTACAATAGCCAAAATGTGGAAACAGCCTAAATGCCACCAACCCAAGAATGGATTAACAAACTGTGGTATATGCACACCATGGAATACTATTCAGCCATTTAAAAAATGGAGATTTTACAGCCTTTGCATTAACCTGGATGGAAGTGGAACACATTATTCTTAGTAAATCATCACAAGAATGGAGAAGCATGAATCCTATGCACTCAATTTTGATATGAGGACAATTAATGACATGGTGGAGGTGGAGGAAGGGGATAGCATAGAGAGAAAGAAGGAGGGAGGGGTGGGGGAAAGGAATAGCAGAGAGAGAGGGAGGAGAAGGTTGGGGTCTTGGTGTGTGCCACACCTTTTGGGGGCAAGCACGATTGTAACAGGGACTTTACCTAACAAACGCAATCAGTGTAACCCGGTTTCTTGTACCCTCAATGAATCCCCAACAATAAAAAAAGAAGAAGAAGCTGAACACAATCAACTCTCAGTGTAAGACTTTAGATGATTTCAGCTTTCAGCCTTTTAAATCACTCCAGCTGATGGGGAGAAGAGCAGAGATCTTTGCCAAAATGCTGTTGTGATCAAATGAATGTTATCATTGTTTTAAAAAAAAATTAATGAAAGTGGCTTAGAGATAGAGATGCTACAGCTGAAATGCTGAAATGTTACATATTACTTAATCCTATGGAACATGAATAATTGACTTATAATAAAATATTCACCCCTCACAAAAAAAAAAAAAAAGAAGGAAGGAAGGAAAGAAAGAAATCAAGGAGGCCAGAGACAATGGACAAAATTTACAGTGCTGAAAGAAAAAAATCAAACAGTAATTCTATGACAAAAAATCCTTTAAAAATGAAGGGAAAATGAAGACATTTCCAGTTAAACAAAAATTGAGAAGCTGATTGGTAGAAATCTACCTGTTAAGAGGCTGAACTGTGTACCACAAAATTTTATATATTTAAATCCTAGCCCCAAGTATTATATATGGAGATAAGACATTTTAAAAGGTAAATAGGTCTTTGCCCTGATAAAATGTAACTGGCATCTGTATAAGAAAATAAAATTAGAATATAATCACACACAGAAGAGCATGTGAAGCCACAGGGAAAAGATGTTTATCTATTAAGGCCAAAAAAAGGGCCTCACATCTCTAGCCTCATGTGAAAAATTAAATGTTTATTTTTCACTCCAGTCAGTCTATGGTACTACATTCTGGCAGCCCTATGAAACCAATATACTGCCCTACAGGAAATTCTACAGGCAGTCTTTCAGTCTGAAATCAAAGTGCAATAGTAAAACACAAGCAAT